ATTAGCACCACTAATGCATGGCTGCGAAAAATTTAGGAGTATGGCTAGGCATTTGAATAAGTTTAGCCACATGTCAACTTTTTGTTGGGAGTTTGTTTCTGATACACAATAGTATAGCAGGTAAAGTCTGTTTTATTGTTAATTTCTCTTCCAAAAAGCAATGTCGTTTGAGCTTTGGGACAAGGCAAAAAAATGAAGAATTGGAAAAGGATGAAGGTGTTTACCTCTAATTTGACTCCGAATGAGTGTATGTCACTCAAAACTTGTGTAGTTCACTAAATTTACTTGTTTGAACATATAGAAACTAAATATGTAGATTTATTATGCACATTAAAGGTCTTAATTGAATCATTTCATGATATATGTATATCATGGGAAAGGTAGAAGTTCATATGGCGATTTTAAAGCCCTTTGGGTATATAAATGGTTTAAACTCAAATGATTGGCTTAGTTGAGATCATTTAAATAATAAATGCGTGTAAGTGTAATACTTCTCATGGTTGCTTTAAAGGAGTTTAATATGCTACTCATACCAACAAGATGCATCTTTCTTTTAGGGAGCTCATATGCTAAGATATTCCACGGTTAAGCATGCTTGGTTGGGAGTAGTCTTGGAAAGGGTGATCTCCTGGGAAGTTTTCCCAAGGTGCGCATGAATGAGGACAAAATGTGTCGAAAGGACTTGCGTTGGTCTGTGAGGACAGTTGTTGGCCCTTGATGCGCATTTCTGACAATAAGCCCTTTGTTTGGGGTTGGGGTGTTACATTATGTAGGTGTATCTTCATGAAATATTTTTATCATGATTGTTTGTGGAGGAAGCTCATGAAGTAACGGATTCAAGAAAAAGAAAAAAGGTAAAGAATTAAAAAAAAAAACAACAAATGCTACTTGGAAATTCACATTTAACAAGTTATTGGGTTTTGTGGCTTATAAGTTGGTACACTTGGAAGTTAATTGTTATCGATTTTGTACTTTTTCCTGCATGTTTTTATATTTTTATGTCAATATGTATTATGTATATAAACAAGAAACACTTAATAGACATGTTTTGGTTTAACATTTGTATATAAGATTTGGTCCAACCTTTGGCCAACCCATCAGGATGTCAACCCCTTTTTGGATAGTAAATTTTCTTATTTTTTACTCTTACATAAATTAGGTTACGGTCTTGTGAGAAAACATTCCTAATTTTCCTTGTATTTTACTTTATATATATATATATATATATATATATATATATATATATATATAAAAGAAAATTGACATGTTTTGGTTCAACATTATCATTAAGACTTGATTATTGTATTGCAAGTAGTGTCTTTGATTGAAATAAAACAAATGGTTAAACCAAAACTAAATTAAAGAAGGGAAATCATCGTTTTAATTTTGTTAAGAGTAAAGTTTGGAAAGTTTGATCGAGAAGATAGACCTTTTGGAGAGTAGGAATTTGGTTGCACGGTAAAACGAAACTCATGGATAGAGTTGTCAAAACGGACCCGAACTGGTGAATTCGAACCGTTTTGAACTGTTCCGAAAAGGAACTAAACCGCTAAGAACCTATTATTTAAAAACCGTAAATCAATCCGACCTGATTTTTTAAAACCTGAAACTGAACCGATCTGAATGTTTGAGAATCGTTAATGAACCGTACCCGATATCAGGCCGAACTGATACAACCCGAAACCGAGAACAACCCGAATCGAGTACTTTTGAACCCGATAACAATCCGACCCATTGTAAACCGAAACCGTTTAAACCCGACAAAAACCCGATAAACCCAAATCCTTTACAACCTGTAACTGATTAGGATTGAACCGTTTATAACCCGTAATAAGTTATGATCGAACCGTTTACAACCCGTAATCTGTTATAACCGAACCGTTTATAATCCGTAAGTCCGTAACCTGTTATGACCGTAAAATTTTTTTTTCTTTTTTTTTTTTGGGTATATATTATCAATAGTAAAACAAAAGGGTTTAATTTGAATTATAAAGTATTTATATTGAAAAGGTTTAATTTGGAATTTTGATGTCATTGAAACTCTTACGCTACAATATTATCGTCCTCTAAGAGTAATGGCTTATGAAACACTATATTGTATTAAAAAAAATTAAAAATCTAAATCAAAAGCTAACTCTAAATTTGTTATTAGTATTTGATCCTTAAAATCCTTATACAAAAAAGGGACATAAAGTTACAAAACTAATTAATACTCCGTATGATCAACTGGAATTAAAATATTGGGACAATATAAGTTAACGAAACCCGTTTAAAACTGGCAAAACTAGTTGTCAAACTGACTAAGTACAACCCAAACCGATTAGGACCCAATATGTGTTGACCCAAAACCCACTTTAAACTGACAAACCCCGTTTTTAAACCGACCGAATTAACCCGAACTGATTATGACCCAAACTAGTTATAACCCGACCCGATTAGAATCCGACCTAAAAAGAAACTGTAATAAATATAAACCAAATCGACCTGAAATTATTTAAAATAGACCCGAACTGACCCGTTAATAATTCCAACCTGTTAAAAACCGACCTATTACAAACCAAAAACTTATAAACCGAATCCAAAACTGAACCGAAAACCCGATTGACACCGCTACTCACGGATTACCAATTAAGTTTTGCAAAGTTCTACATTGTAAATTGTAATAGGAGTATTAGTGACATGAGACAATCACAAGCTATTCCAATCGGATTTTATCACGATTTGGTTAAGTTGGGATCATTATTTTATTTTATTATTATTTTTTTGACAAAACAATTGCGATCAAATTTGATATTGAGATATTAATGAGTCTAATTAAGCAATGGTTATTCAAAAAAATAAAATAAAAATAAACTTATACAGTAATATGTCAATTATAATCTTTTAATATTTAATATAAGTTTTTTTTTTTTTTTTTTTTTTTTTTTTTTGTTTTCTTTTAAAGTTTTACTAGACGAAGTATTAACCAAAATTTCAAATAAAATTAAATAAAACACAACAATTATTGAATTTGAATCCAACCTCGAGTTAGGTTTCTTGTTTTAGTTTCCAAGTACAATTATGCTCCAAATGTTGAAGCTCGTGGGTTTACAAATCAAGCTTGAATGAGTTCACTCACGAATCAAGCTTGAATTTGAGTTCGCATTGGGTCAGGTAGAATAGAGCTTAAATGTCATATGCTGAACATTCTATTTTCCATTTTCCATATCTATTTCCATGCCTATTTTCCATTTTTTTTTTTATTAAAATTAAGAAACTTAGAGCATGTTCTTTTCAGCTTATTTTCAGTTCAATTCAGCTCCAATAAATTCAGTTTTATTTTTAATTTCTTTCTCTTATAAAATATTCAGTTCATTTTAACTCTAATAAGTTCAGTTTAGTTCAGTTCAATTCATAACAACCTATTATGCATTAGCATAATGCTCTCTGTCCCCAAAACTTCGACCTTTTTGGCCTAAATTTTAATTCCAAAATGATCAACCCATTTACATTAAAAATATCTATTAATTTACAACAATATTTGTGCAAAATTAGCTTTCCCATATAAAATTTTGTTTTTTTCCTATATTTTCCTATTTTTAATACTTTATCTCTTTAATTTTTTACAAACCCCATGTAAATAAATCTTTCCAATATGTTTTTATTTCTTCTTATTTAATTTTCTTAATAACCGCGAAATCAACCCAAAATGGACGAAGTTTTGAAGACGAAGGGAGTAATATTTAATTATATGAAAACTAAGTCAAACTAGTACATTGGTAAGCATGCAATGTTGGACTATGTCATGTATTACGGGAAATAGGGAGTACAAAAAAAATTGATGACAACTCATCAAAAAGAGAAAATATTATCAAAAAGTACATTCTTCAAATAGAATTAGACATGCAGTTTTGAAACCCCAAAAAGGAAAGTAGTCCTACTGAATAAAGGTATAAGCCTATATCCAAATCTTTTGTAAACCTTATTCAGTTTGCTTCGGAAATTGCTGGCAACTTATGATTCATGAAAGATGAAACCAATAGAGAATAGAAGAAAGGAGATTTAACAATGAAAGCTAGAGAAAAAATCATCATTTTCATTGATGTCAAGTAAAATTCTTTCAAGAAGCTTTCCTGTATCTGGAACAAAATGAGGGATATTGTATTATGCATTAGCATTACCAATCTATACAGAAACAACAAAATTCATCAGTTGACAAGGTTGTCAAACATTAAAATCTCTCTAAATGGAATACTAAAATTGCTACATACCATATTCCAAATTATCTATAACTATTCCACAGATTGTAAACCAAACCTGTTTTTTGCAGCGCTAAATCCATTAACTTGGCTCCATTGCTTGAAAGATGATTGTCAACACTAAAAAAATGAAGAGTTTTCATGCAGCCAAAATCAGCTTTGCACAGAGGTTAGCCTTGTTCATAATCAGTATAAAGGATGTGTTCTCTGCCAAATGAAAAACATACACCGATGACACTCTTCACACTTCAGAAATATAACAACTGCAGCAACTCATGGGGAGGCTGGTGGCAGAGCAGCATACTTATACTGATGAAGTGGAATATGAAGTATACTTTGAGACTTCACAATGTCTAAGGGTGAATGGGTTACAGGGATTACATTATTCTGCAAATTTGTGAAAATGAGGCTTTGGATTGAAGTAACCACAATCCCTGTTATTCAAACTCAGGTATATGTCAGGCTCAACTATTTTATGACATGATTCCATGCTTTGGTCCAAAAAGAAGGGTCAAGTATCCATATGATCATACCTATGTTGGAATGTCAAGGATCCAACGCGGTTACTTATGGTCAAAAGAAGAGTCCAAGCCACATAGACCACAAACCTGGCCCAGCAAAAAGATTTCACAATAGTGTAGCTTGTGGGCAGCCATCTTTATACTTCAATGAAATTTCCAAAAAGATTTTCCAAGAGCTAACACTCTATTTTGAAGAGACAATACGTAATCTGTAAAGATACAGGAAGAAAAAAATGGTTGATCACCCAACAACTCGACTGTCATACAGAGCCTTTAAAGAATCAGCAAATTTTGCATGCCCAGTCTGGTGGAGACACTTATTGACTCTCATAAATACAGAATGTTTAGGCTTAAGCCCTTTCCCAAGCATCTCTACAAGAAGTCTGTAAGCAAAAAGAAGATCCCCATCTTTTAGGTGAAGGCTTGCCAATACATTGTAAATTTCCGGCGCCCAGCAATGCGAGCATTTATCCTCTGCAGCAGTTCTAATTACATATCTATGTGCCTTCTCAAACTGTTGGGAACGGAAATAGCCTCTGATGAAAGCATAATGAGTCGAAAGATAAGGCTTAACATTGCTAGAAACCATGAGGTCATAAAACATAACAGCCTGATCTGACCTTCCATATCTACAGGCGAAATGAATCAGTATTTCAAAACTAATTAGGTTTGGGGAACAGTTTCTACTAAGCATATCTTGGAGAACAAAGAATGCTTCATCAATATTTCCTTGCTTGCACAAACTACTAATCGCGTAATTATAGGTTCTACAATCAGGGTCACATCTTAATTGCCTCATCTCCTCGAACAGATTCCATGCATCTTTAAACTGACCTCTACTACACATATGCTTCACCAATACATTGTAATACAACACCTTCTCCTCGGTAATCTTAATGACATATTTGGCTAAATCAAATTCATTCAAAGAGCAAAGCATCTCAACCAATGAATGAATCCCAGAATTACGACACGAACCACCAACTTCATTTAAAATCTCTACAACTTCAGTAATAGATTTTTTAGCATTCTCCACACTAGTACTCGAAATGGGCAAAAACCCGAACGCCTTTTCACTAAGGCAAATCTGCTGATTCCGAAAATCTTCCAATAATTTAAGCATAGCAGCATAATCACCCAAAAAGCCAAAATTGGCAACAACCAAACTACATATATTTGCATTTCTACAATAACTTGGATGTGCATCTTTCAACCAAGTAAAAAATCGCAATACCGGAACTTCCAAAATATTTAACCAACATAAAACATCAAGAATTAACTTCATCTGATTTAAACCAATTGAATTCAACCTAAATTCCATATCAATTCCATCACCTCTAATTATATCAATTATGCAATTAATATCACCAATTGATAGTTTAGTATTAATCAATTTACTAATTGTTTTGGCAGAGGAATTGATGCAAGAACTATAAAACATTTTAAAGCTGAAGTTATACCTCAAAAAACCCAACAAATTCTTAGCAGCTTGAGAATTTGAATTCGACCCATTTGAGATTATCGATGTAAGATAAGAACTTGAAGATTCGGGGTTGAAATTTTGATGAAATAAGGAGTACCCAGTTGAGGAAATCCGGCAATTTGTAGCATTTGAAACAGTAGAAAGAAAAGTGTACTGGGTTTTGTAAGGGTTTAAACCATATCTCAACTTTTTGCAGATTTTGAGAACTCCCATCTCATTATTCGGCAGATGAGCTATTGAGTTTATTAGATAGTGTGGTTTAGGCGTTTAGCCAAGGGCTATTACTTTTTTCCTCACTTAAATAGTTAAATTAATTCCAAATTTGTTAAAGAGAACGTTAAATCGTAATTTTCATATTTACTTAAATCGGTGTTGTGGACGATAGATTAAAAATGTAAAAGAGAGACCGTATTTATGAATTGGAGCGTTTACAAGGTGGTATGGACATGATATAGACACAACATAATAAAGAATCAAGCTAAAAACAAGTTAAATGTGGCTTGGGCATGAAAGCATAATATAACATGATATGGTGGCACATCACAACAACGTATTGAATCGGCGCAGTAATAAACTAAGCCTAACCAGGCCCAATACACATGTTACCATAAAGGCATGACCTAGGATGACCCACATATATATTAGCTTGGCCTAGTGGCTAAAGAATACCTTTAAATTTAAAGGTTGAGGGATTCAATCTCGACCTTATGTCTCAATCAGAGACACTTCGAGTAAAGGGGTCATTTTACCCCCTCGCTTAACTAGGGGCGGCGGAGAGGGGGTGCAAGTTGCCGACGGCACAAGGCGCTGAATTAAATGGGGCTCCAAAATTAATTATGTATTTTTAACTTGATACTAATTGTAATGAAAATGTTATGCAGCTCAATGGTAAGGAATGAACTATTGAAGTTGCAGTTTCCGGGTTCGAATTTCTATTTCGTTAATTTTTGCACTTACTTGGTACTGTTGCCAGCTGTAAGCCTGTAACTTTCTTTTTTTAAAATTGGTTTTCAGTTTTCAAGATTATACACTCACTCTCTCTCCTCGTATTAAATTTCTCTCTTTATATTGTGCTGAATCCATTTTCTTCCAAACAAGTAATTATATACCCCACATCTACATACTGACATTTTTTTTTCTGAAACATACTAACATATTTCATACTAACTTGTCAAATTATTATACGATGTAACAAATTATTGTATTATTCAACAATAGTAAAGAATAAAGTCTAATCGAGAAGTTTGCTAAGATTTTAATTTCTAATTTTGAGGAAAACTAAAAGCTAAATTTTGGAAGAAGTAGGTGTATAAATATAGTGTGCTAATCTTGTATTCTTGTAGATGAGATTTATCAAAAAAACCTCGAGAAGACTGACATAACCGAATTTGTTAGAACATACATACATTTTACAGAGTGAATAAGTAATTAGCTACCTTAAAACAAAATTTTAGTATTTAAAAAATAGGAAATTTTGCAAAAAAAACCACCTTTTTAATCTTGTTTTTTTGCAAACAACCACCTTATAAAACAATGTTGCAAAAAGCCACCACTTTTCAAAAAAATGTTGCAAGTTAACACCTAATGCCGGAAAGTGACTATTTGACCCTTGCTCCAGCGTTGACCCAGTCACATGACATTAGTTAATCCCTAATCCCCCCTTTTCTTTTTTCCCCTTTCTCTTTCGAGATCCCTCTTTCTCCTCCCCTGCTCCTCTTTCTTTTTCTTTCTTCCTCGCATCTACTTTGACTCAACAATGGCTAAGTATATTACAGGCTAGATTTGACAGGCGATTTGTTGCATGTGGTTGACATAGCTATTGGGTAATTCAAATAAGGTGTTAAAAAATGATTTTTCATCATTTATTTTCACTCATCTTGATTTTTCTCCCAATTACATAAGATCATACTCTTCGAATTTTTCTCTGAACATTTGTGTTGTCCTCAATGGTTACAGGTATAAGAGGCAAACACAAGGCTCAACCCACCTAAAGAAGTTTCCATCCCTTTGATTTGTGTATGGGGTTGTAAAATTTGCAGGCCTCAAATCTTCGTGTAGGGTTCTCATGAGTCCAAGACTTCAACCTCGCAATTGGGACGCCACGCCCACACTTTTTTGTATATCGGAGATTGAGACATTACACCGAGAAACTAAGAACCAATTTAAGAAAGAAATTAGCTAACCCTAATTTTTGTATTTCGCAAAATTAATCACTCAATTAATAGAGAAGAGACGAAGAAGAAGATGAGTATAGAAGAAAGAGAAAGGCAAAAAAACATACTTGAATTGTGAAGGAGCTGCTCCAATCTACAATGGAGGAGGAAATGATGAGTAGGAAGAGGAGCAGAAAAGAGAAAGAAAGAAGAACAGGGGAGGAGAGGTGAGAAATCAAAGGAGAAAAAAAAAGGGAAAATGTCACGTGTTTGGCATGTGGCTGGGTCAATGCCGGAGCTAGAGTCAAATAGTCACTTTTCAGACATTAGGTGTTAGCTTGCAACATTTTTTTGAAAAGTGGTGGTTTTTTGCAACATTTTTTTATAAGGTGGTTATTTGCCAAAAAAAAATAAGATTTAAAAGGTACTCCCTTCGTCCCTAAATTACATTCCTCTTTGTAAATAAAATTACACGGGAATTAAGGAGGAAAGAATAAGACAAATAACAATAATGAAAGTACATTAGTGGGAAATACAAAACATTAAAGGATGTCTTTGAGTAAAACAAAGACAACTTAATGATTAATTAAGCTATGTCATCAATCCTTTGCAAAAAAATAAAAGGACCAATAACATGCTAGTAATTGAAAATTAAAACCAATCATATTCATTTAAATTTGGCACAAGGATCCTGACTTTTTGACTGAAAATTTCAAATTCCCTCCATTTCTAATTCAACGTGCTTGGCTATTTAAAACACTTGAAGCCAAAAATATTCCACCATAATCATTTTTCATTTTACAGCAATTTTAACAAAGAAGAAAAAATCAGAGAAAAGAGGGGACTTTTTCGCATCATTGCCAAATTGAGCCATGCCTTCAGGAATCGATTTTAACGTGCCGCCAGAAAATGATGGACCTACTGAAGCTGGCATTGGTGGATGTACTAAGGGACTTTCTTTGACTTGAACATGCAGCCAACTGTAGTAGAGTCTAATTCAGAGCATGAGGATCATGTTAATGACATGCAACAAGAATCCATATGAATGGGCAGTAAGAACAAGTCCATATGAACGGGCAACAAGAGCAAGTCCATATATGGGCAGCAACAACAAGTCCATATTAATGGGCAGCAAGAACAAGCTCCACAAAGGAAACGAAAAAAGGCTAATAGGATCAGCATTAAAGGGAGGTTTAATGTCCTCATGTTTCTCATGAAACATTCTGAAGGGGACAAACCACACAAAGGAGCTATTACAGCAGCAGCTGCAGAAAAGTTCAACATATGAAAAAGGTCAATGGGTCAAATATGGCATGATGCAAAACAACAAAAAGCAGATATGGGAGGTTACAATCCAGTCCCAAAATACTATATGGTAGGAAGGAAAAGGATCCAAATCCAAGAAGAAGACGTAACAAAACTGAGCATTGGTGAGAGGTCATGTATCAGAGATTTGGCACACATGCTTAATGTCTCTAAAAGCACAATATTTAGGATGATCCAGAGAGGGGACTTGAAGGCCCACACAAATGCCTTAAAGCCAAAATGGACATAAGCTAACAAATTGGCAAGATTTAAGTGGGTCCTAGGGCTGCTGATTGGATCAACAGCTTGGACAAAGAACAAATACTTTCTAATGTACGACTTTGTTCATATAGATGAGAAATGGTTCAACTTATCAAGAAAAACTCAGAGGTATTATTTGTCAAAGTCTGAAAAGGGCAAACATAGGTATGCAAAATAAAGCACAAGAATACCAAAGGCAATGTTCATGGCAGCCACTTCAAGGCCAAGGTTTTATGAAAATGGGGATTGCTATTTTGATGGAAGACATGGCATATTCCCATTCACAAAGCAAGAACTAGCCAAGCAAAACTCAAAAAACAGGGAGAAAGGGACTATGGTCACAAAAATCATTGAATCAATCACAAAAGAAAATACAAGAAGGATGCTTATAGATCAAATTGTACCAGCTATAAAGGAAAATTGGCCAACTGATGGGCAACCAAAGGTTATTTACATTCAACAAGATAATTGCAGAACACACATAACTCAAGATGATCTTGAGTGGCAACAAGTTTACAAGCAAGATGATTTCACATTCATTTTGGTATAACAACCACCAAACAGCCCTGATCTTAACATATTGGATTTGGGACTTTTCAGAAGCATACAATCATTGCAACACAAAAAATGCCAAAAGACATTGATGAGCTAATCAAGGCAGTTAAAGATGCATATTATGAGATAGAGCCACAAACACTCTGTTTTGTGTGGTGTACCTAGAAAACAGTCATGAATGAGATACTCAAGGTTGGAGGTGGCAATGACTTCACCGTGCCTCACATTAATAAAAAGAAACTCTTAAAGGAAGGCAACCTAGAGGAAAAAATGGATGCGCCCACATGGGCTGTTTTGAAGGCATGGGAGGTAGTTTATGGGGATTTGGGTGATCCCACATTTGAAGAACAAGATGAAGAACCAGAAAACATCACACAATCAGAGTATCAACTACCACCAGCAACAGTTGCAGGTATTCAGGAGGAATATAACACAACCATTCATGAAGAAGAAGCAGATAACATGGATTTAAGATGGTTCGACTACAGTGAGTACATTGAAGAACTACATCATTGGGCGTCATTACTAAACAATGAAGAATTTCTAGAGTCACAGGGGCTGTCAAAATATGGAACTCCATTATGCAACAATAACCATGAGGCTGTCTCATCGAAGAAAAAGTAATGTAATGCCATGTGATGCTATGTAAGCAATGGTACCAATTAAATGTTTATTTCATCATATATAAATCAAATGTTTTTTTTAAGGCCAAGTATAAGCTTATTGTTTTCATCTCAGAAATCCCCCATACATCATTGATTATAAACACAAACGTAGCGCACAATTAGCTGCCCAAAAGTCTCAACACCCATAGGTAAAGGTGGAATCAATGGCAAATAATCATGATACGTTATTGCATATATAATCTCATATTTTTGGAGTCTCATTATTGATGGACAGAAGAAAACAAACAACACATGGCATCACATAGTCATGAAA